TTATTAAACATTTGTATAGAACACAATCAACAAAACCTTTAACATCCAGTAACAAAATTTAATGTAAAACTGACAGAATTTAATTTTAAGTTTTACATTAAATTTCATTACTGGATGTTAAAGGTTTTGTTCATTATGCTTTGTAATTTGTTCCTGTTATTGAGAAGAAGGTAACTTATTCATATAGAACACTTTAAATAATCTTATTTAAATTAAATAATTTAAATAAAAACAGAAAAAAATTTTTAAAAAGTCAGAAGAACCGTTACTGATTTGCCTCAATGCCATATTAAAAGTTCCTAATAAAAATTGAGTGATGTTAAAAACCATCTAGCCTCCTATTATTTACTATCTGAACCAAAATATAGATTTACAACATTCTTAGCTTATCTAAATAAAAATAAATTATTGGGCTGCAATTTGAAAAAATTGTAGACCAATAAATTTCCAATGTCATCTATCTGTCCTTCCTTAATCTCAAGAACAGAGTTAGACAGATGAAAGACGACACAAGATATGGAAAGCTTATAGGCAAGAGGCCCCAATTAACTATATACAAACATACAATGAAAACTGGAAATCAGATCACTTCATTTCAAAAATTTCCCCTGAAAAAAGTTAGATGACTGACACAATTCAATTGCTAAAAGAAAAGTATGATGTACAGTGGCAAGACACTACTAACTTGAAGTGGAGAGCATATATTTTAAATGAAATAAATTACAAAATATGATTAAAAATTGCAGCCTGGCATTGACATCATCACAATAAATATTTGATCGTTTATATATAGATGATGGCATGATACAATATATATAAATTTTTATTTTTAGTTCACTCAAATTAATTTTTATCTAAAAGAAAAAATGCCACCATACATATGGCAAATGGCAAGTCAAAACAACTTATAAATATCAATTACAAAACACAACAGCATACAAGAATGCATTAATATTTTAATGTATTATATTCTTGTATAAGTTGTCAAATCAATAAGTTTTCAGAAAAATAAGTCTTTGATAAATGTAATTATCAATTATGACTAACAGAAAATCTATAACACTAGAAAATAAAAATTCTGACAATTTAAAACAAAATATCTCTCTGCTAATGTAATGTATTTAGCTGAAAGAACTGAGTCCATAATATTGGAACAGTATCTAGACTAACTTATTATATAGCCTATATATAAAATGAGAGTTTTGATTTCTTTTTTCACTAAAAGTACTTTGAGTAAAATAATGAGAATTACAACAATATCAACAGAAATAAATGAATTTAAAATATGCACATAATAGCTACTTACTTTTTCAAGTTACAAAAATACAGACATCAATGGCAGTGCCTGTTAATTCAGGCACTAGCTTGCCGGACTGAGTTTCAATTCCACTTTGACACTAGTATTTGTGCTTATCAAATTTTAATGGGAATTATTGCTTAGAAATCATTTTATTGTTTAGATTTTTTAATCAGACTTGATTAAAAAAATTATACACAGATCAACATTCATTTACATTTATGCATTCTAGGTGCTATGAACTAATTTAACATTGAGCAAGTTAATAACTAAAAACTAATAAATAACTTGTTTAATAATATACATACTAATATTTATCTGTTTTTACTTTAATCTCTCATTTTTCACATAGTTCATAAAAACTAAACAATCTATTCAATCAAATCAATTCAAACTACTAATCAACTTATCAGGTAGAATTATTATTGAAACCGTAACTCAGTAAACTGTATCACTATAATCAGTCATATTTAATAAATTTATGCAACAGCCATTAGTTATGCAAGATTTGAACATTTTAGATCTACAAAACTTGTACAAAAATACAGGGTGTCCAAAAAGTGACTGTGCAGTGGTAAAAGGTTGAAATTTTAATGAAAGTGAAGATGTACGATACAGCAATTTTTCCTCCAATAAATGCTGGAAATGTCTCCCAGAGGCCTCAAAATCCTGGAAAGTGAAGTCCTAGAGGGCTAAATTCCATAGAGGATTATGTAATCAGCAGAGAAGTATCTCAAAAACTTTAGCCCAATAAACCAGAACATCTAAGCAAGCATTAACACTGTAAAGTGGAAACACAGAAATACAATATACAGATCTTGTATACAACGTTATAGGCTTCAATGTCATTACAAATCTCTCACTGTGCAGTAACAGACACCCTATACAAAATTAGCCACAACAGAATAATGCTCAAAGTTATAGTTAACTTTTGAAAGTTCTTAGAAAAGTTTTAAATTTTAAACTTTTCTATCTGTTTGATGGTGATAAAAAAGCAATAAATCTCCAAAAACATTTGTTCCACAAATTAAAACTTGTAGAAGAACATAGATTTTTATTGAGACACTAAGTCAATAAAAAAAAAACTACATTTTTTCAGTATCTAGACTATAAATAGAACTTGAAATCAATATAAATCACATAATACGAAGTTAATATAAGTTTGTTGGTTTTAATGGTTTTAAATTCTTGAAATTTCATTGAAAAAAGAAAAAAAGAAAAAAACATGCCATTACATGAAAATGAAAACTGCTACATCAATTTGTTCTTATGTTTTATTGCTCAACTTTTTTAAGATAAAACTTTCATTATCATCAAACTAAACCCATCCTGAAACAATTTTTAAATGATATATTTAATTATAGCAACAGCAAAATTTATCAATTTCATAAACTAGACATTTCAAGTATTCAAGAAAATCACATTAACATATTCACAATAATTGGTTTAATCTTAAAATTGTGATAACCTAACTTTCAAATTGCTTTTTTTGCCATTTTAGATGAATTTTTAACAATTTCAATTAAATTATCCAACAAAACTAGCAAGTAAGAACTTTCCATATATAACTTCATACCTTCCAAACAAAATCTACTAGAACTGTATATTAAAAGTTCAAATTCTTAAGTAATTCTTAGTTTCCCAATAATGTCAAAAATTTGTCATTTAAAGTCATTATCTTTTGTCTAGAGCTGATGATAAAAGTATAAACAAACAATTATTGCAAAATTCAATATGTTTACCTCCTAATAATTATAGTAGAGCAAATCCTATTGGTATTTATAATCCTTTTGTTAAAATCATTTAGTTTGATAAAATATTTTTTCCAGGAACTAAACTTCATGTTAATGATTTACAGAGATAAAAATAAGTGGTGGAAAAGTGTGAGCGGTATTAATTTTACCATACAAGTTATATGTTCCAGCTTTGATTTTGGATTTTAGAAATAAAAATAGTGCATAGTTTCAAAACATTGCAGTAAATGATGTAACCAGGAAGATCCTAATCCCAGTCCTCTCCTCTGGATCTTCCAGAATCAGATCAAAAATCTTTGTCAAACAAAAGTCAGACACAGAGCCAAAAGAGAAGAGGACAGGACTTAGAATGCCTGGAAAATAACAATTGAGAGTGCATTATAATTTATAAGATATATTTATATATCTTATCGCACAGGTAATGTTTTTTCACACGTATATCTTTTTAATAATGTTTTCCCCAATTTCATTTGAAACAGCCATACAGGAGGGGAAAAACGAAAAAATTAACACACACAAAAGGAAAACATAACCAGGAAAACTACACTTTTGGCCTAAATCCAGTCAATCACGTGACGCTCGGACATCTCCGGCCATCGATCAAACGGCAGAACTATACTTTGGACGAGAAATGGTACTTTTTGAAACAGGAACGGTGCCAGATAAGGCACGAATTCCGCGCGGCTTCGGCTTTGGAAATAAAGAATTTATTCGAACAAATTATTCGCCAATTACGATAAATCGATAGCCATTGTCATTCCCGTACCAGAAACGACGCATTAATTACGTTAAGTCGGACGATTATTAACAGAAAAATCCGGATATCGTACGATAGTCGAGCGTCCCCTTCTTTATTCTCTTTATAGAATTCGAGGAGCGGATGTCCGCTAAGAAAAAAGTTTCTATCGTCAATTCGGAATTAATAAAATAGAGGACGAGAGAAGCCGTTCACGGAATCGACATTCCTTGGAGATGATTCACGTTTTTAAAACAAAGATGTAACTTCGCTTATGGGCGAGGACAACAACACCAACCAAGGTCACTTCCTCCGGTGCAGTTCGCTAAAAACGAGTCTCCCCCTTTTTTTATCGCTCGGATTTAGTCACGATAATTACTTCGCAGCTGCCGAATCGAACATTTCGATTCGGCGAAACCGGAGGTAAAAAAAATACCGTAGAATGATGAGGATCGCTTCTATGCACTCTCGGCTTCTATGGTTAGCAACCACCCACAGAACCTGTCATTTATTTCCTTAATGACAGTGTGGAGCGACGAGAGTAGTCTATTTACCTCAAATGTTGACCGACTTCGATGCAAATTACCGGAGCGATCGCTCTTCTATAATGTGGAAGGTCGCGTGAAAAGGGGAATATTCACTCTCGATCGTTAGTGGCATTAATCGGTAGAGTTCGAAATCGATGAGGCTCTCGAGAATAATGAGAGAAAAGGGGCAACGGGCCACACCCAGACCAAATTAGTGCCGTTCGATGAACGGGTATCGACTATCCGATCTACGGCTTCCCGGCCGCAATCGATGTTATAGCGCCCGAAACCGAATCAATAACGTCACCTCCGACTGTAGGAATGTCAACGTCACGTGCGGGCCACGTGTTTTATAAGACTTCCCCGTGGCTTCCTCTATGTTACCTCGCAGCCCGCCACACTCTTCCTGCCCGACTCCGAAACCCGTTTCCGTCGCCATTCGAGCGCCCAGTAACTTCTCGAAGACGTTCTTTGGACATCTTCCGCCGACGTCACACCATGACTAAGCGAGTAGCGGATGCGGATAATGACGAAACCAAGCGTAGAAAAATCGAGAAAGACGTTCGTCTTCAAAGAAAAACAAATGAACAGCGTAACTGCGAAGCGATGATGTTGGTTACATTCGCACGATACGAGATGTTATTTTCGTACTGACTAAATTAGACACGCTAACGATTGATACTAACCTTACGGGTCGAGACTGGTGACGACAAACACGGACAGAGAATTAAGAATGTTAATGGATATTATACGAAGCGAACGAGGCCGTTTCGCCGGACTACCTGCCAGCCATACGAGACTGCAGCAAAGAAATGACAACTCATGGTGTAAATATCCGCCTCTTCGCCTGACGTCAAGCGTCACGTGAGTTGATTCACTTCGACCTCCCAACCAGGAAAAATCGGGAGACTCGACTCTCGAAACAGCTGTACCGCTATCTGGCTCGCATGAAAATAAAAATTCGATAGAAAGGGGGCTAATGTCGCGAGAACCGACAAAAATTTATAAATTATCCGATCTGCCTCATCTCTATTAGAGAATTTAGGGATGCCACTCTCAATCACCATTTGATATATAAAAACTCGATTCAATAAACCGATGTATTTAGTATAGAAACAATCTTTTCAGATGAGAAAATTTCTAACAATTCGTAAATACAAAGTCCGTTTTTATGGGAAAATAAGCTCGTCGACTCATCCTCGCCTCCAAATTTTTAATTTTAGCAGCTAAACTCGCTAAAATGCAGGATTCGCTCATTTATGCCACTCTACTAAATTCGGGAGCGAATACAAAATGCAGCGGCTTTAAACGTTTAATTCTCGCGATACAGTAAAAATATAAATAAATAAAAAAGCGAAACGAATAAAAATTGAAAGATCGCCAAAGCGAAATCACTGGAAGCATTAAAAAAGACCAAATAAATTCTGCAGGCTTTATTTATTGTTTTATTCCCCCCCTTAAACAATATCGAACTGCGGTAGTGTGTTTCGTAACAAATTTCACTTGCAGATAACATTGTTAAATTCTATAATCGTCAAACAACTCTACGTACAGTACTGTAGAAGCCGCAAAAAAACAGGAAAAATGGAAAGAAAATTACAGTTCTCTGGAGCGAGTGCTCCATTTACCAACCGGTTTCTGGAATGATATCAGAATTTGTTTTACACCGTGACTAAAAATCTGCCCACAAAACACCATTTTGCACACTAAATTCGCCACGATTTCATGGTCGCTCGGAAGGACCCTCTATGTACCGCAGTGGGTCATCTTCACTAAAAACTGGGGCCGCGGGACGTTGTAAAAAAAGGGGGAGGATACAGGAGAGAGATCGGTTTACGTCACGCGCCAGGTCAAAATCTCGAATGATCGTCGCTGGTGAATTTACCAAGGAAACGAGCGAAGGGCAAATGCCAAGTACTTCGTAAACAGGACATTGGATAAGTTCGACCTTGGCACCCTTCCGAAAACGACACAGATTTCAAATAAATTAGCAAAATCGATTGATTCGAAGTAATACGTTTACATTCTTCGACGGAGATTTAAACTACAATGCTATAACGAGAAAAAAATCGAATATCGCTCCATTCGAAATCGCTGCATCCATTTTGCTAATATGGTAGCGTGTTCAGATAAGCTATCGCCAGATAAGCGTGTTTTCGTGTATACCGGGCGATAAGCGATTTATAACTAACGTAATTGGACCGCGGAAAAAACTTTCCACTTGCCATATTAGAAAAATATTTTTAAAAAATCCAATTTCGCACGTTTTAAACCGTCCAGCGTTAAATCAAATGTAATTCTGCACAGAGTACAATGGTCAGAACAAAATTTCGTTATAAGGCGGGGGTTAAGAGCGATACCGGGAGTCAAACGTTTCGCAAGTGTCTTATTAACTATTACTCAATCGATTTTTTGAATTTAATGCGGAAAATAAAAATTTATAATGGCCGTACTGAGTACAAACACGTTACGTTTATATCATTTACAAACAAAGGATTCAAGTAGAATAACTCACGAAGGTCGTCTCGAGATTTGTTTAAGGGAATTTTTTCGGAATGTAAATTTGTCTTCATTCATATAAAAAACGTTTTAATAATTTCACAATTTCTTTCGGGGAAGGGGAAATATAAGTTAGTTCTTGTGGCAATATATCTTATTTTCCAGTACTTATTCAATTAAATATTCCGTTTACACGAGCTCGGAGTTTTCCAATTTTTTTAAAGTAATAAATCTTTATAGTTTTTCGTTGCGTAAAAAAAATCTAAAGCATGAACATCAACTAAAAGATTCAATGACACATACGAGTATCAGACACGTCACTTCAATACATGCAAGAAAAATTCTCTCTCCGAACATTCCACGAACAAAGTACGTATAAACATCTTTTAAACGATAAATAAAATTTATTGAATTAAACAGATAAATACAGAACTTTAATCTAAAAAATTATTATTTTTATGTTGAATATTCTTTTTGTTTAAAGCGTGATACCGATAAAAGTTAAATATAAATTAACATCGAAGAAATTCAATGTTAATTTATATTTAACTTTTATTAATAATTTAATTGTTTAAAATTTAAAACGGTTTTATTCTGTGGTTTGGATGTGACAAAACAATTACTTAATCGACAAAAATTTAAATTATAATCAGCTTTAAACAAAAATAAACTTTGATAAAAGGATTCTGGTGAACTCCTTAAGAAGTTCGCAAATTTTTCTGATATAATTGACGAATTTTGTTCCCTTTTCTCTCAATAAATAGATGCTAATATGAAGGACTTATCTTTCTTAAAGAAGTGATATTAATATTTCGAGTGATAGCTAGATTTTGACAGAATAAAATGAAAGCAACCATCTCAAAAACGTCCAACAAGTTATGCTTAACATCAACTTAAAAAAAGGGGACACTTCACACGCCGATCACTTTCACATTAACAAGACTTCTATCACATCCACAAGTAATTTTTTGCCTAACCTGACCGAAAAAATAAACTGACAAACAAGACGAATGGCGGGAGCAGTTATCAATAACTTGAAATTTCGAGTGTGCCAATGTGGTTAATGCTAGCAGAAATCGTCTAACATGAACTAAACTGACATTTTCCGTGGGAAAGATATTGACTGCAGCATAATTACAGAGCGTATTCCCATTTTTACGAGGAATGCCACACTGCTAAAAACGGGGTTGCCTTTCTTTCGTGCCCACGCTGTTTCAAAATTACTATGTATGCCGGAGAGATTTTTCTGGGTCGCGACCGTTTCTCTAGTTAATGGTGTAGACATAATTAAACTATCAAATATCCAGATCCCAGCAATCTCTTATGACTAATAATGTTAGTGCAACACCATCCAATTTAGTCTAACTTCAAACAAATAATTTACATCAGAACGTGTGTGTAACACTTAAAATCGTATGTAACAATGTAATTTAATCACCACCAACAGGCAGGGAAAAGAATCTCATCTATCTCGTGAAGGTGGAAAGTTATTCCTGATCATCCATAAAATCAAGACTAGCCGACTTTTGGGCAAAACATGATCAAAATTTTCTATTCATTAATGCATTGCTTAATGACTTGTATCAAAGCACGCAACTTTCAGTCGAGATGTAAGGGTATATAGTTGAGGTTAGCAGTGAAAACGTGCTCACGAGATGTCGATACAAAGGTAACGACATTCATAACTTTTTATCTCTGGAAAATCGCATCCAAGGTCAAAATAAATGTAACTGTAAGTCGTTCTTTCCTGCGGTCTCGAAAGGAAATATTAAGTAAAAATAATTTAATCCTAACATATTTTGAATTTGGGAACTTTTTGCAATTACGCTGGAGGCTAATTATGCTAGGAGATCAGCAGTACAATTAGAATAATTAATTTAAAAATGAAAGAAATAAATTCTTATTTGCGACGTTATACAATTGCGAGATAAGACTCTTCCTACATGCATCGCGTTTATTTATACGTAGATCGGAGGTTCTCTTTGTCATAAATCATCATCAATTTGTATCTGCATAATGCAACAAGAAAAATTTTCCATTTAAATTAATCATAGTGTTCTTCCCGTTGAAAAGATTTCCGTTTTAGAAAACGTTTCGTGCATGTTTTCAAGTCAATAAACAGTTAACTTGTTTGGAGAAAGACATCACGTGTAGTGAGGATGATCTCCAAATAGAAACAGTCATACAAAAGTAGATTCTGTTCGCAGAAAAAAAAATTAATAATAAAATAAAAAAAAACAATTCTTTATTTTCGTCCAAGGCATATCGATCGATATATATAACGAATCTCGGCTGTTATTTTCTATATTAAGCGCTCTGTATGATGAGTATTAGTTACAGTTTGTGGAATTACGTAACCCGGTTAGAAAATTTGTCGGTGTTAGACAGATTTTCTGTAATGGACTCGTGCCAAATTTGGTACATGTGTACGCGATTCCATTAATGAGGTAACGACGTCAATTTTCGAACAAAAATACTATTTAAAGCAGCTGGAAGACAGATTAAACGGTATTTTGCAGCTTTTAAACCAAGCTAAAATGGTTGCGCTTTAGAAATTGGGTGATTTGGGCTTATTGGTAAATGGTTCTCTCGTAAAATGAGGACGAATATTTTGATCGGTTATTTTTATTAGACACTCTAAGTTATAACTATGATTTACTTGTAAAACTAAATGCATATCTCTCATTAAAACGAAAATTAAATCCTTCCAATGAAAATTTTACTTGTTGACTATTCTAGTGAAAACAGTTGACCCTGATTCTGAATGAAAAAAACTATAAAAAAAAGCCATATATGTTAAAATACTTGTTGATATCCATCGTAACCTGTTGATAACCCATATTTCATAATTACAGATAATCAAGAGTGTTTCTGGAAAGTATCCATATTAACACCACATTGTACAATTGCAGAATGTTTGCAAAATCAACATTTAATAAGCAAAATAAGCAACAACCAAAACCATTTGCTCAGTTCTGAGAAATCTAACTAATTACAATAGTGTCTACTGTAAAAACCATTAAGGAAAAGTGAATTTTGGCCTTGGACAATTATTAAACACCTCTGTCCAATGCTACTGTGTTATATCATCTCAAAATTAAATAATATGAATCTAGCAAGAATTCTCAAAGTTGCATTACACACATCTCATTTTATTGACAGAATCAAATACAAAACTACAATTTATTCAATTTATTGTCTGTAACAATCAACAAAGCTAGCTAGAAATATAACATGATATTCCTGAAAATAACTATATTTGAAATACAGTAACTAATTTCAATTAAAAAGCTACCATAATATTTAAAAGCAATCAATTCAGAACCAATTGGAGAGTTAATATAAATAAGTAACATGAAAAAANGTTTTTAAAGTTAGTAATATCTAATCTAGAAACTAAAAAATTTAATGCAATGAATAACAATTAAAGAAATAATCTGACCTTCAAAATCAAAATGGCTAAGATTCATGTATTGAAATATTTTTAGTAATATTTTTTTAAATTTTATTTTTAAAAAAATATGTAATAAAAACTCAAAATATTTAAATCAACATTCCTGAAATAAAAATTACTACAGAATTTTCAATATATAGATTAAAATGAATAATACAAAAAACGAAAGAGATGTTACTTTCCAATTGTATATGGTACCTAAAATTATAATAAAATCTTATTTAAATTATTAAAAAGCAAATTATATTTAATTCTCAATTTTTTAAATATTTTATCAAGAATATAAAGTATTTAAATATAAAACTTTAAATTATTATATTTAATTATATCTTTTAATATAATCTTTAGTAAGGAAATTTTAAAAATTCCTTTCACTACTTATTTAAATTATTTTAACTTA